TTTTTCTTTTCAGCAAATGACAGCCTGGATTTGCATGAAAATATAATTAAAAAAAATCACTCTCTCTGGTCCAAAATATGAAATTTTGTTAACTATAATTTAAATATCAATAAAATTCAGTTATATCCTTGTTTTCAGTTAAAAATATTATAAATTTCTTTTACCTTTTTTTCTAACTCTCAATAATAAATTAAATGAAAGAGCTAATATTTTTTAATGAAAAATTATGGCATGAGAATGTGTGATCCTCCTTGCATACCAATAAAATTTTAGCTATTGTGAAGAGTGAGAAATATATAGTAAATACTACACAATAAATCAAGTTAATAAATATAAAGATGAAATAGGGAAAAAAAATTTCAAATCCTACAAAGTGTTTTATATTTTAAATCAAAATAAATTGAAAAAAAATGTCTTAATTTAGATTGGAGGGAGTATATGCTTAGAGCCTAATCCCAATATCCCTTATGTTACTTAAAGTGAGCGCGAAATTAATAAGTGAGCGTCCTAGTCCACTCATACAGTGAGTGTCTTATATAAAACCATAAAGATTGTTGATTTAATCGAACAGTTGTTTTGGGAATGTAGATCCAAAAATATGGAGAACACATCAAATCATAGCTCTACTTTTTGTTGTGACCTATACTTAAATCCAACAATTCATATATACAACTGCAGATAAATAACCTAAATGTGGCCTTTGTATAATTGTATTTAAACTCCATCATTTTATTTATTTCTAGTTAAGAACGAATTTTCTAGCAATTTAGGGCACTATTAAAAGAACCCAAATCTTCTTGCATCTTGTTAACTAAATCAAAACATTATCAGATTTTTTGCATATTATTTCTTCTATAACAAATTTTTGTTATTAATATCATCGTTAACATTTTAAAATTGACTCGTTTTGATTTAGTTTGATAAAAATATATTGAATATATAATATTAATTAGTATCTAAGTCTTCCCAAAATAAAAAAAATAAAGCACATGATGTTAACTAAAACAATGGATAATTCAATCATCAACAATCCAAAACTATTATAGAATATTCATGATAACTATCGAATCAGAAGACAAATAATTAGAAAGAACGAAATATCTAGTGTGGGTAGAGTTAGTTGAAGAAGGAATTGTGGCTTTCGCCATCAGAATTGCCGACTTTTTAATTAAATTGAAACAAAAATTGGATTGTCATATTGAAACGAGTGGGTGATCTGTGACAATGAGCTTGCCGTGAGACACTGTGGATGAGAAGAAACCAGAAATGAGCCTCAGGCCACGAGGAAAGGAGACACATGAAAGTGACATCGTGACAGATAAAAATCAAAACAATGGGATTTTTGTTAATCTTTTTTTTTTTTTTTAATTGTGGAACACTTGACGATTATTATAAATTGCAGAGGCAATGAGAATCACATAAAAAGTGAAAACACATTGGAATGGTGGGTCCACTTTTTAAAACCGTTGGATTTGGAGGCATCAATTATATTTAATGAGAGAGTGCGATTCCAAGTATCAGCTTTTGACCATCTGACATTGTCCCTGACTACATTTTGACCTGCTGACTTTGCATTTATTGTTCTCCGATCTCCGTAGATCATAATATTCCATAATACTATTACTATTTTTTTTTTACACATTTTTAATTTTTTTCACACATTTTAATATATTCCTAATTCCTAATGATAGAAATATATTATAATTTTTTATATTTTTTATTATCTCTATCATAAATTACAGAAAAACATCTAGCTTTTCAACAAAATTTGATGCATTATTATAATAAAAATAGATCATGTAAAAATATATTTAATATGAATTTTAAAAATTAAATTCATTATTTTAATACCATTAAAAATGGCATGGCATCTCCCATCCAATGCCAGTGGAGCCATAACCAAGAAATGGCCACGACCCATGTGCTCATTCAATATTTATGGGATTTTTCATTATGATTTTTGTTGGAATTAAATTGTAGGGGTGGTGTTGGTAGAGTCAACTGTAATATTAATAAGTAATAAATAGTACCCTTTTTAAAAATTAGATATATTGACCAGGGTTTAAATTTGAAGTAAAATTCTTAGAAATGTGAAACTCAATGGACATTCTGAATTCCATTTAAATAAAAAATCTTCCACCCCGTTTTAAAATTATAAAATATTTTTATATAAAGTCTCACGTATTAATAAATTTTATTAAATATATTTCACAAAATTATTTTTTAAAAATAAAAATATAAATTTTTTAAAATATTTTTTATTTAATAACGTTAAATCTACACTTAATTAATATTAAATAGAGAGATAAAAGGTAATATTGAAATAAATTTATTTAATAAAGTTTTAAATTTTTTAAAATATCTTATATATTGGAATGGTAAGTTACTTCCAAAAGTACTTTATAATTTGAAAAAAAAAAATATGTTTGCTGTCACTTATGTTATTTTCATCTTTTACTAAAAGATTTAAAACCATGATTATCCAAATTACTTTTACGAGTGCCCTTAATTGCCCGAAGTAGATATGTACAATTCAAAATAGATGCATGCCTAAAGATCTCCAAAAATAATATTATACACACAGGATTGGGCTCGATCAATCATCTTGTTATGGTGTTCTCAGTAATCACTTTCAACAAATTCATAGAATCTCTTTCTGTTTTTTGAGCAAAATCATAGAATCTCTTTCATTTATCAGTTTTCAAGGTAGCTTAGACAATAGTAATTACCAAAAAAAAAAAAACAGAGGCTATGTGTTGTAACTTGGAGGAGAGCACTACACTTTTGACTTCTGAGCAAGCCTCAGCATACCAGAGTTTTTCCCTTGGATGGTGATGCTTATAATACCAATATTAATAAATATAGTGGTTATTGTATGAGATTTTTTGTATTAATCACATAATAAGACTTGTTACTTAGCATATCAAAATAGTTCAAGCTACTTTGAAACAACTTACCATACATTTATATAATCATGATTAATTCTCTAACAACTTGACATGGGACTATATATATATATAAATAATATTTTTCTTATTATTCTTTGTTCCATTCCTTCATTTTTCATTTTTAATCCCAAATCAGCCTGGTTTTAATATTATATTAAAGTTTTTGCATTAATGACACGCCAAAACTTGTCACGTGCATCAAAATAAAAACTCGCCACACATTTATATAACTGTGATTAATTATCTAATCACTTGATATGATAATATCATATCATATGGTATTTAATAAATGAAGTAGAAGATATTTGAGATGCTGAATTCTAAATAATTATTATAAAAAAATGTAGACATTTTGTAGCTTATAGGAGTATCGGATAGGACCATTGATAGTAAGGAAGGCAAGAATCCCGTGATTGCTTATATGAGTTTGGCTACAAATTAACAACTTGTGTGCTGTCACTGATTGCTCTGTTTTTTGCCATCTGCTCTTTCATCATCTTCTTCTTTCCGAGTTTTTGTACCTATTAGCTTTTACTCACTCTGTTCGGTCAATTCTGACAAAAATCAAAGGCAATGGATTCCTTCAACATATATTTTTCTATTTCTCACTTCACTCCTTGATAAAAGTTGTCTTTTCATGCTCACCCACTAGCTAGACCATTCATCACTCGCGTGCATTATTTAGACCTTCATTTATAACATTTTTATCAACAATACCCTTTTTTAATCTCTTTCGATAATTTTTTTTTAAAATCATATATAAATCGTCTGTGTTGCAAGTTTATATATAATTACACTGTTAATTTCTTTTATAAAGAAAAGTACATATAGAGATCTTACCCCCCCTTTTGTTTTGCTTTGTGGCCAATGTAAATAATATTATAGTTACTGGGCTTGTTTTTAGAAGTAGGCCGATTATAAAACGTTCTTGGGCCTAAAGCAAGCCCATTTTAAGTCAACATAAAAACCGTGAGAATCCGAATTTGGATCCAACGTAAGGGAGATGTTGTGAGTCCGTATGAAAATCTTTGAGATTTTTGTTTTTGTTGTTATTAGTGGTTCTCTACGTTTTACTAATTAGTCTGCTCAGAGAATTTGATAATTTTTTAATGCCCAAATGTAGTAATAAACAAATTATAAAAAAAATTAATCAAATTATAAAATTAATCTTAGTTGCATGAGTTTCTGTAATTTGAATCTTCTAGCATCAGTATAAGTGAAAATACATACATCCCAATCGCAATTGCAATCACGATGCAAATGTCTTTGACCCGAACTTTCAAACTCTTGAGTGCATTTGATTTTTTGGTTTTTTGGTCAGTATTGTTCTATTCAAATAAGAGCAAAAAATTCAGAGAGTAAAGGCCATCAACTTGTTACTATACTTTCTCCCTACTTTTAAACGTAATTCAATATTCTAAAATATAATACACTATAATAAGAAAATTCATTAATTATATATGTTACAGTATTCTTTTTGGTTTTCTAAGGTATTTTGCAATGGTCAATCATAAGACTAATCTTTAAAAAAATATAAGTGTAGTTTAAAGGTTTGTCTTCTTTTTAGTAATGTTCTCCATATACACCTTTAAGAAAATAGAAATTATACATGTTTCTTTTCTTTTTGTTGGATTAAAAAAAATATTCATGTTTTAATATTTCCCTTTCCTTCTTATTATATTTTCTCTTTCTCTCTCAATTTATGTTTCAAAAATAAAATTATATTAAATGAAGGGTTTTTATTTTAAAATTTATATTTGCGTTTTGTAAAAAAAATAAGATTATAAATGTATTTAATAAATTTTATTGTTACGACTACTTTTATCAAGAAGTGCATACCAATAATTTTTTTTAACCAGCATACCGTTAAAAAGGTTAAATTATTTGTTAAAAAGATTTTAAATATTTGGCAAATAAACATGGAGTTAAGGCTACCTTTCTAAGATCCTTGGAGCACATCCTACGGTTGAGAATAAGTAGTTGAGCAATTAAATAAACGGTCAGGATTATTCGAAATCTGAAGCAAGGAATTTTCAATTTCTCACCAAAATCCAATGCCAGAGCCAGACGGCGAGTCCCTAATCGAAGTCTCAGAAAGGTTGGTTAGTGGTTTGCTCGGCGATCTCCATGGCAGGTGCTGTGAGAATGACGATGACGGCGATGCTGGTGATACTAGGGGCAATCTCTCTGTATTGTGCTGAAGCTTCCACTACGGCTGAGTTTGTGCATAACACCATCACGTCCCACAAGATCGTCATCTTTTCCAAGTCCTACTGCCCGTACGTATCCACGCTCTTCTTGTCTTCTTGATCTTTTGATTGACTTGGTGCCAGTAGTCTTGCTATTTTCTCCGCAAATTGACTGGAATTCTATTGAATTTATTTTTAAATTATGATGATCCGGTTGCTTTGATTGGTTTTGAGCTGTTGACGATTTGTAAGTGTTGGATTTCACTGGCTCGTCGAATTAGTCTTGTACTGATCGTGTACATTGCTTCTTTTAGAATTACTAGATGATTCGAATTTCTTTTTCCTTGTAAAAGAAATAAGTTTAAATCTGTGTTGTTGGCAATCAACGTGGATACAGTTTCGGTGCATTTGATCAGAGTGAAAATTGATGGGATTGAGGAATAGGCATGAAATTTGCTATGCATGTTGGCCTAATGATGCCTTGGTTGGTGCATCAGTACATTTTCAATCTTCATTCCTTTTTCTTTAATTTTTCGGTTTTTACTCTTGCGAAGCACGCCTTAATAGCCTATTTTATAAGAAGCTGCCTTAATTAATAGCATGGTAAACCCCTTTTTCGCCTCCTTTTGTTGGAGGGTAAGGAAGAGCGAGGCTGAAGAGGTGGATTCAATATTCTGTTCATTACTTTCAAACTATATGTTGCCATATGCGAGTAATATCATCTCACCCCAAAACTCAGAATTTTGTTTCCATCAAATACCGTAAATGCCAGTATTTTTCTCAAGTGAGAATCTATCTTCTGATTTGGGTCTTGAATCTTGATGAGTGTAAAGATTGGGGAGCCTTTGTGCTTGATTATTGTCTACATTTTGTCTTTAAGGTCCAGGATATTGTGCTATATAAAAGCAGCAATTCATGAGAATTATAATAGAAAACCATTTTGGCGGTAGTCATCTTTCCAGAAATAACGATTTGTGTAATGTTGATAAAATCAAGGAAATGTAAAGGATTTATTTTGATGCTTTATACAAATTTTTGTATGAGGTGTTTACATTTGCAACTTTAAAAAAAAAAAAAAAAGGTTTCCGAGGGATGAAATGCTTTAAATCAAATTATGGAAAAACTTAAATCATATTCTACAAATATTACAAGTTCTAAAGATTTTTGAATGCTATATTTTAAACTAGCTGCGGGGAAAATACAAGTAAAATTAATCATGGTACAAGAAATGCAAAAGGAAGTACAATATTTAGAGATCCTAAATTACAACATCCTCACGTCCTCAGTAAACTGCTTAACATTAACCTTTGTTAAACTGCCAACCTTCAGATTAACTTGATATAGATCTTGTCCATATAGTATGTCTTCAGCTTTTCATGTATGTAGGAGGCTTAATTTATATCCAGCGGGTATATGCTGTCTTTGTCCCATCTAAATTTTCTGGGATGTCAATATCAGTCACCATTTCATTTTAATTAGATATCACTTATGGTTGCTTGGATTTTAAATTTCAAGATTGCATGTATCTGATATTTAGGATAGAATTGCATTCAATCTGCTGTTTATGTTTCTATAAGCTTATTAGTCATTATCTGATAATTATGTGATTGGGGATTCCATGTGAATTCCAAAGTTCTTCATTTTTCACTCTTTCTTCCTCTTATGAATTTTACACTCACTTATAAAAATTGTGTCCTCCATAAGCTTGATGGGCAGATGTTAACTTCGGACAATAAATTCAATTTTCTACTGCAGTAAAGCACTCATGAAATGATGTATCGGATGTTTATATTTTGCTTCTTATTTCTTTTTGGTATTTTAGGTACTGTCGAAGAGCAAAAGGTGTTTTCAAAGAGCTAAACCTTGAACCACATGTCGTTGAGCTTGATGAGAGAGGTATACTAATTATTTTCCCTTTTCTTTCCGTATATTAAATATTAGAATTAGTTCCATCTCTAATAGGGAGAATGAAATGGTGTGGCTTTAATAGGCATTTTTGAAAAGCAGGGTGGGTTAGCATTTCTTTCTAGTATCTCCCTCTAGCCTGATTTTTTTTTTTCCTTATTTTGGGGCCCATGCAAGAACCAAACTAGTCATAATACAAACAGGAACAAGGCAAAACCAAACCAAAAGACTAAAACAGAAAAAGGATAACAGCAAGCAACAGATCTAGGGACTCTACTAACTGAGGAAAAGATCAAAACAAGAGGGATTGGAGGTTTGACAGCTCATCCAAGAGGTTGCAATCCCTTTAGAGACTCCTTAGCTCCCATTCAAGCAGCTAAGTTGCACGAACAAGACACCCAATGAAGCTTAACCTCCAGTGAAACAGCAAACAAGGGACTCATGGCAGGGAAAAGCTTCAAATCCTCTAGATCTGTGGCCGCTCGATCTCTTCTGAAAGAGTCCAAAGTATATTCATCAGTAAAGCAAAATAATAGGAAATAAACAAAGCTTTAAATCAAGGGGAATGAAGCAAAATAATATTTGGAAGAACCTAGTTTGTTTCCTTCAGGGACAGTTACATGTGGTTTGACACACAACGTAGAAAGAAATTGAAAGAAAAAAGGAATAAACATGTGGTATTACAACAACAACAAGCTTTATCCGATTAATAGTGATATTGTAGATGAAAAATAATTTTTCCTTCCTATTTTGAATAATAATAAAAAACAGGTACTGTTCAGTAATGATAACAAAAACATGCTAAACATTTTTTGTCTTGTTTTATTGTTTCTGCATTTCCGTTTGTTCCCTCGTACCAAGAGGCTTCCAGTCTATCAAAAGAAGAGGAACTGGTAGTAAAATTTCTTTCTTGCAGACGATGGCTCAAAGATTCAGGAAATTTTGGTTAATACTGTTGGGAGGCGTACAGTGCCACAGGTCTTTATTAATGGAAAGCACCTTGGTGGCTCGGATGGTAAGTGTTTCTTAATGAGAACAAGTATGGACTTTTTATTTGTTCCTACAAAGCCTATTTCCTTGGAATATCACTCACGTGTGTGTGTTAATTGACTCTTCTCCAGATACTGTTGAAGCCTATCAGAATGGGAAACTGGCAAAGCTTCTGGGAATCGAGACAGAGGTTGATGATGATTTATGAATCAGATTACTAATAGTTGGAAATTTGTAATTTTAATTTGAGCCCAAAATGAAATTGTTGCATGTGAGGGTTGACCCTATATTATGCTTTGGTAGAACAGGCTCTTTCATCTAGATCATTTGAGATTTTGATCAATAAGTTAAGGCGTAATCACTCTTGAATCGGTTTATCTCAATTAATAGAAAATACAATTGTTTTTGAGCAAGTTATTTATTCATGTTGATACAATGATACGTATAAAAAATGACAGCGACGGGTCTGCAAACGATAGTGTAAGGTTTTTCTTCTGTTCAATGCTAGTGATTTTCATTGACACACATTCATTTAACTTGACTGGAAATTAATAAACTATTAGTAGAATTTCAAAATGTACGATGCCCTATCTATCCAAATTTGAAGTATCCATTCTTGTTTTTATTATGAATACTTACCTACTTTGATGTGATATTTGATATTTGCTTTGCTTTGATTATTATTTTTTGTTTAAATTAAAAATTTGTAAAAGTTATTCATATTAGGACAATCATCGTAAAGACCCTACGAATTTGAATTCCACGTCTGTCAGACTAACCTCATGATTTAGTTTGAAAATGTGCCCAATATTACACCGAACTGTACGTTGGAATTCCCCTTTTTTCTAACTGAGGTCTTTCATCTTTAAAGTTTAAATTTATTTATTTTTTTACCAGAAAAAACTATATTCCCTCTTCCCCCCACAAAAAAAAAAAAGAAAAAAAGAAAAAAAGGTGCTAATTCATCCCTCTTCAATATCCTTGATGATTCTTTTATAATTCAATTCCTTAACCAAACAAGCCACAATGAGAGGAGAAAACAATTATTGTTATGTAAAAACTGATACGGAACTGAGCCTATAAGGTGTTTGTAACTTGAAGAGTTGTAGGGTTTAAATGCATGAATAAAGGAGTGGTAATTATTAATTAATTTGTTCATATAATTGATGATTGTCGTTAAGCATAGGGAACGAATTATATGTGTGTCATCTTAATGAACGGCCATCACAAAAATTATAGAGCTACGTACATACATAGTCACGACCACTCTATTATCCCCCACAAGCTTTCTTCTTCTCTGCTTTTTGTTTCGTCCACAAGATTTGGCTGCAAAATCCTACAAAAGAAAGATTTCAATCATACTCAGTTCTAATCTTAATCCTCCAGTTTTTCACGTGACAGGAAGCTTAGCTTTACAGTTCTACCTTATTGAATATTCAATAATACTTCCACCTCTCACAAGCTTCCAACATTAATATGCAATTATACATGCATGTTGACAGATTCAAAAGTTAACGTTCATCTGATCTCATCCATATAGTTTTTTTTTTTAATCTCTCTCTGTGGGTGTGTGTGGGTGTATTCAAAAGGAAATATCTTATTAATGTAAGCAGATATATATTGTCTTATACTTAACCAATTCACAAATATTAAGAAAGTTTCCTTTTGTTGTTTGCAACAATTATTTATGTAAAAAATGTGTGTCTTTTCCCATGATACCTTTTTTTTTTGTATAAAAGAGAAATTGTTATACTGCAGTTCATTATTCCTTGTTTTATAAATGTCAAAACTTTCATTTTTTTACACAATTTCATATATTATTTATCACAACTTTTATTAATATATTTTTAGTTTTTTTAATTAATTTTATTGTGTAATCTCACTATAAATGTTATCGTACATAACACCAATTTAATTTTATTTTAATAATATCTCTACCCTCAAAATTAAGTCGGATCTACTAATCAATTCAACCAAGATGGATCCATAATCCAGTTTAATGTGGATAACGAAGCAGTTAATTAAGTTCCAAACCGATGAAATATAACTATCGATTGATTTCAAACTGAACCAATTAGACTTAGTTGGGCGAGATGAGATTGCAGTTTGCCAATGAGACATCAAAATACTTGTGCCTGTGTGGGTGAAAATTACAATAATTATAATCACAATCAGAAGCCTATGAATATGATGAAGATTAATTAAAATCACATGCGTGGCCATTAATTTTTTCTGTATTAACTTCAACAGTTTGCCTTGTGCCTCAGGTAATTTTGGCGTTTCTTGTTGATTCATTCGGTAACTTCATTTTTCTTAATTAGTCAAAACGCTAATCTCAATATGGTCCAACCCCTAATTAAGATTCAAGCCTATGCAACTATTCCCCATTATTATTCCCTGTTTCAAGTCCTCCCACTAATCAGTTGCTGCTCCATTAAAGCTGATTGATAGCATCATCCCCTGCTTCTGATTTTACTATATTGCCCTCCGGTCAGTGTTGGGAAAGATCCCCTCTGGCTGATTCAAACAAGATTGGAATTTGGAATTCAACCATTTTGAAAACAATAATGAAACTTGTGGTCTGTAAATTTATCTTAATTATTGATGTGATCCCTAAAATTTAATATTTATCAATCAAATCTTGAAAATTTCAAAACCCTACACAATTAGTTCTCTTAATTTGAAGGGAAAATAATGTCATAAGGATAAATTGTTTATGGTTATGAAACTTTAGAAATTTAATGGATAAAAATCAAAACTTTAAGAGGCCACATTGATAATTGATACAAACTTGAGGATCAAAAGTTTATTATTCCACAAAGAAAAAAAGGGCCAAACTATTTAGCATGTCATTAAACTAAAGAAGTTTTGGGTTGTTTCCTGAGAGGAGTCAGAATTCTAACGCATGTTTTGCCTCTTTTTTCTCATTTCATTATTATTATCATTACTTTGATCCGCTAAGGCGCTAATCCCTTATTAGTAGATAATTACTCTACATTTTCTTTCTGTTCTGATAATCAAAATCATCAATTATCCCACAAATAACGATTTAAATTCAACCCCAGGACCAAACCCAACCGTAAAATCTGTGTTAAAATCCACTTCTTTCTTAAACCCCTCAACTTTCCCATTTCTCTACCATATTCAACCTCCCTCCCTCCCTCCCTCTCTGTTTCTCTCTGTTCTCTGCCATGGAAGATGACGTTGGAGCATGCAACACGGGGCTGTGTCTTGGACTGGGGATAGGAGGGTATGTGCCAAAGAAGAAGAAGCAGATCAGAGAGAGCAATAATCAAGTGCCCTTTGAACTTTATCCCGACGGAGAAACTATGGATCGTCATGAAGATCTTGGATTGTTCAGAATAAAGAGAATGGATCATGATACCTCCACCAACTGCAGAAAGAAACTGAGGCTCACCAAGGATCAATCTGCCTTGCTTGAAGAAAGCTTCAAGCTCCATGCCACTCTTAACCCTGTAATACTTTTCATTCTCTCTCATGTTCTGAAATTTGTGCCATGCGGATTCATGTATAATAATTAATCCATATCATAATTATGAGATTATTCACTGGCTGGTTTTGATGGCAAGTGCAGGCTCAGAAACAATCCCTCGCAGAGCAATTGAAGTTGAGACCCAGACAGGTCGAAGTTTGGTTCCAGAACAGAAGAGCAAGGTACGTACATAGTGTGGATCCATCTCTCCTCACTTGTTTTCATATATTCTTCGCCAATCACCATCGACGATGAGAGTGGTTGTAGAAATTATTAATTAAACGGTCGTCGTGTATAAATATATCTATATATGCTCGTTTAATTATCAGGACCAAGTTGAAGAAGACGGAGATAGACTGCGAGTTCTTGAGGAAATGCTGTGAGAATCTCAGAGACGAGAACCGAAGGTTGAAGAAAGAGTTGCAGGAGTTACGTCCACAGAAAATCGGGACGTCGCCGATGTTCATTCAACTCTCAAAGACGGCGGCGGCGACGACGACGACGACTTGTTCGTCATGTCAGAAACCATTCAAAGCGAATGACGCAAATAATAATGATAATAAGAACAACAACAATAAAAAGAACAAACTGGAGAGAGATTGCTGTTAGGGGTAAATCTGAATACATTTATATTTAGATATAGTGTTCTGGTGAAATGTTAAGTTACGCGACACTTGGGGATATTTGGGAAATGAAATGATATTTAGTGAAGTTTGATGTGTGGTTTGACTAATATTACATGAGAAATATGGTAGTCAGTGGGAAGGAAGGAATAAGATTTTGAATGGTTGAAACTGAAAGAGGAAAAGAATTCCTCAAGTGAGTCCACTAATTAATTAGAAAGGTTAGAGCAGTGCATCTTAGCTACACAATAGGGTATGGTTTACTTGTATTTCTCATCCTTCAAAATCCATCCATCCATTTCATTTCACTTCTCACTTTTTATTTCTCTCTCTTATCATCATCATATCTTTTAATTACTTGCTTTTATGGTTTACTAATTCCATCTTTTCAATTCCTATAATCTTGTTTAAATATGTGACTAATTATTACATGAATCTCGTTCACCACCTCATTTATATATTGTCGATATATATATATATATATATATGCCACGTCTAATACTCAAATTTTATATATTATCCTTTATTTACATAACTTTAAGCTTTAAATTATTTTGCTTTCTTGCCTCTGATTTCTCTCTCCCCTCATGATGATGATAGAAAGAGAAAAAAAAAAGAAATTAAAGAGGTATTTTATTCAAAAAAAATGTCATTAAAAATTATTATATATAAGACTTTATTTGATTAAATTTATATAATTTTATTGGATAGAGCATGAATGAACTATTACTCTTAGATCATGCAAAAATTTCTCAACAAAAAACTTGTTATTCTAGTTAGAATATTTTTATATGATTATGTAGTTAGATTGGATTCAAACATTGTCTAACCTAAGTGGAAATAGCTTCTTCTTCAAGGACTTTTTTTTATTCATATGAACTCAAACTTAAAATTTCATATTTAAGCAGTCATAATTCATTTTACTACAATCAACACCAGTTAATCTTAATCTAGTCATAACTTTTTAAAATTATAATTTTGAAATCTTAGTTGCAGTGTTCAATTTAGCACCGTTAGGATTTATCCAAGAAACAACTATCATTGATTTTATGCCAAAGGATGTCATTAGTCACACTTATATATAATTATATAATCCTACTTAGAATTATCAACAGAAAAGTTGCTGATTAATCTTTTACATATACACTTTCTCATGTTCTTATTTTAAGGTGCCTCTTAGAAGATATTAATTATTTTTATTATAAGTCATTTGATAAGATATTAATTATATTTCTTAGTATTACATATTTAAAGTCATTAATTAACTAGGTGAGAAAATGCAATGTAAATTTAAAATTTTTATTTAAATACAGGCAAAATAAAAAAAGTATTATATTTTAAGATAAAGTTAATATATAGCTTAACAAAATCTCATTAATTTCGATGAGATATTTAGAGGTACTCCCTCTAGATTATAATGCTCCCTCCATACTAATTTATAAAATATTTTTAGCCAAAATCAAATATACTAATAAAATTCATTAAGTATGCTTTACAATCTTATTTTTTTAAAATATAAATATAAATTTTAAAAAATATCCTTAATTTAATACTCCATTTATGGCAAAAATATTAAATAAAACAATTATAGCACCCAACAATCAAAATTTCTCTTTAAAATAGAAACGGTTTGTCCAAAACCCTAACCCCAACCTCAAAATTTTATAAAATCCTCAAAATTAAGTTTAGATGAGTTAAACAACTCTCATTAATCTCGTTAGGACTAATAGGTTTGGACTCAATACCCTCAAGGCTCGAAAATTCATCTCCCAACCATAAAATTCAATTCTGAAACGAGTAAAGGGTAGGAAGAGGGAAAAGGAAGACATACCTAAATGAAAGCAAACTCAAATCTCCTCCAAAATGCTAATGAACTTGTGCAGTTCTGCCCTAGTAGAATTTGTACTTCTCACGTCACCCTCTCCTTTGATTCTTGTCACCTTTCTATAACTCGAACACAAATAGTACAAATGAGCTAGCCCTAAACTTTGACCTTTAATTTGGGTCCAAGTGGCCTAAAACCCTTTTTGGGTTTGGTCCTAAGATTGTTTTTGAAACCAATAGGCCCATTAGCCATCACAAACAATCACTGAAATATTAAACACTCAATTTTACTTTTTTATCTTTGATTAATTAATTAATTAAATCTAGAGGTCAAAATCCTGGATGTTACATAAGTTATGTCATTAAACTTGTATCACAAATTTTTCTTCTTTACCCTATATTAAATATTGATGAGCGAAAATATATTATTAAAACACCCATATTTAATAGAGATTAAGTTCAGAACTTATTGAATTTTAAAATAGAGTTAATGTCTTTTAAGATTTTGTTTTAATTCTAGTTAAGTAAATTAAAAATAACTTATAAATATGATCACATAAATATTTGTGACTCTAGTATTAATTAATAGTAGGCTAATAGCGCAGTCTACCAAAGTGTGCTATAATTAATGACAATAGATAGCATATGCTAACGCCGTCATAGACAGAGAAAATAGTATTAAAACAGAAAATATTATACGTTCATGACTATATATCATATATTATTAATATATGTATTACTCCCTCCATCTCTATAGGATATTTTCAATCAAATATTATATATGAATAAAGATTTGTTATTTAGTTGAAATCATATAAAAATATAATAATTTTTTAATTTTTTTTAATAATATCATAATTAATATCATGATGGTGGTAGGAAAAACATACAATTAATGATTTATTTTATTTTTCAAGACAAGGGTAACATTACTTAATTACTCAAAAATATCACTGTCACTCCTTATATTTAGGGATTAAATAAACTTTTAAAAAATACTTTATATATAAGCACAGGAGGAACAGAAGTGAATGCATATATTTTGTTCTGCATGGATATAACATTAATCAAACTTCGATCCGAAATCTCAGTTACTAGCATATATTATAAAAGGAGATATAAAAAATATGACTACTCCCTCTCTTCCAGTTCTATTTATAAATTATAAGTGAAGGGGGAAGTTTTTTTAAGTTTTGTTTGTAAGTTATATTATTAAATTTTATCATAAATTGTCTCATTTAATTCCATTAAATATCTTCTACTATAAAAAATGGTGTTGTCATTTTTTGAAAAAAAAAATTAGACACCTATTTTGATATCTTTCGTATAGAATCTAAAGAGTGAGGCACACTGTTTATAAATGATCACTTATATTATGAATTAACGCACCTTGTTATTGTTAAAGTTTAAATTTTTATTGTATGTTGATTGATTCTTGATTGATTTTGTCTGTTTTGATTTATAATTTAATTCAATCGTGAACCAAACCAAGAAAGCGATTTGAGCTAAAGAAAACAATATGAGATTTATGTTTTCAAATATGATGTCAATTCTACTTTGTTTGACAATTTCATTTAAAGGGGTTCAAATTTTAACCTAGATACATATGATATACTTCTGTTCACATTCACACAGTCCTAATGCCACAATTAAATCAAAATGACTGTAATTAATAAAGGAAATGGTATATCTAATTAATTCAAGACTTAACTAAACAACTTGACATATTTCACACGCTTATAATGTTAAGAAAAATCATGGTCATAACTGTGAATTGACTTGGACATTATATACAGTTTTCGATTTCAACCTCCCACCAAATCAGCTTCTTCTAATTGTCCGTTTAAACCAATGGGTCGGCAATAGCCCATGATTAAGGCCACTTTATTTATATAATCCTATTTTATTTTTGAAATATCTCCATATCTCCATAATCTACTATATATATTATAAAAATTATTTATTTTCAAATTTTTAAATTCAGTTCCATACTTTTTATGAAGGTAGTATACAATCTATATATATATATATATATGTAATTAATATTTTATTTAAATATATCTTTTAATTAAAATTTCAAAATTCCAAATATGTTATTATAAATTAATTATTAATAATTTTTAATTATTAGTTTCCAATCATTTTGATTGTATATATTATATACAAGCTTTTCACGTATTCCAATCTTTTTTATTTGGTAAAGAGTTTCCAATCATTTTGATTGTATGTATTATACACAAGCTTTTCACATATTCTAAAAAAATTAAATATTATAACGATTGATTAATTTTTATTTCATTATTTTTTAAAATAAATAATCCTAGCAAGTTTTTATCTTAATGTTAGATAAACTTTTTGTCTCGCTCATATTTTATTTTAGCGAGACAATAAATCTCTCAACATCTTTTCAAGCTAAATGTCATTTTGGAGATGTCAAAATTTTCCCTTGCTAATTCCTCATTTTGAGAAATTCTTAGATAAACTCACTGTACTGTATAATTTATGGTCCATTCAATAAAATTATACCAACTCAATCAAATATAATGTCATGTGTTATTATTTTTAATGAATTTATTTTTCTAATAAAATACTTATTTAATTTATTTCCTTCTCACTTTATTATCATTAATACCATAATTAATTTATATTTAATACTATTTAAATGTTACGTTTTTATTAGTTGGACCACAGATAATGTAGTGTATCAAATTTATCTAAGAATTTCTCATCTTATTTTTGGTGAGTAACATGACATTTCTTGCTAATTTTTTTCACTAATATTATGTTTATGTTTCATGATAAAATTTCAATTACTCACTAGTTTAATTTTTTTTTTTTAGAGAGGAATAAGACATTTCTCATTTAATTCCTTAGTCAAATCACATTTTTTTCTTTTTGATAAATATAACAAGTAAGTTCTGCTGACAACATATAACATCTTATATCTCTTCTAAAGAACTAAGAATGATAAGTAAATCACTTCCAACTAAATTGTTATATATACAAGTAAATTATATTTTCCTAATATAAAGGGATTAATGTGGGCTCTTCTGTTTATATTTAATTTATACATATATAAAAATTTAAGAGGTTTCTAATTAACTTGTAAAAGCCAAAATTTGAAGAAGTTGTATATAATTCAACCAATATAATGATAAAATGTTAAGGTAGTGAAACTAAACTTTAAAGAAAATTTTTATATATAATTTATTCTGAAATATAATCACAAGTGATAAGCACAACATTTTTCCTATGTTTACTTTATTAGCGTAACAACAGATGCATTTAATAAAGGGGAAATTAAAAACTTGGTTTTATGACAAATTCAACAAATCAACCAGCAAACAGTGAAGTCAACATTTTTCTTTCGGTAATTCTTGAGCCATACGTTCTTCTTCTAAACCTGATGTCAGATTCATATACTTTCAGCTCAACCAAAACAACGTATTAAAAAAAAAGGTTGAAAGGTA